GAGGAGATAGCTGCAGAAAGGTTGGTTCTTTGCCACCAGGTCTAGGCCGGAAGCCAGGGAGTTCCGGGGCTCTTTTCTCTTTTTAAAGACTATTTTTATTTGTAGTCCTGAAGAGTGCACGGGATCCTTTAGAGCTGGAGTTACAGAGGGTTGTGAGCTGACATGTGGGTGGTTGCTGGGACCGAACCCAAGACCCTGGAAGAGCAGCAAGCACTCTTACTTCGGAGACATCTCTCCAGCCCATTCCTTTATTTTCTTGAAGCCTCCGTTATTAGGCTTACACCACAATTTTTTTTTTTTCTAAATCTTTGCTCTGATCAGTTAACAAAATTGCTGACCCTTAGTCCTGAGTGATTTGTGTTGGTAGGGTTGGGGAAGGAGTATAAATTAAGGTAAAAGCCAGGTGACGGGGTAAATAATGTGAGTACCAAGGATATTAAGGCTTGCTAAGTTTTGTTTTACTTACAGAGACTCTGATACATTGAACCTTTCGGTTATGTCAAAACTGAATAGAATTTTGACACATTAGCTTTGGATCATAAAATCTCCAGTCTAGACTGCATTTTGTTGACTTAAATCATGTTACATAACTGCTCTAAACCTGCACTGTAAAACAAGCAACAACAACACACACATGTATATCTTAAGTGTCTTGATTAAATAAATGGAGAAAAACCAACATAGAGTTTAATGTTCTTGGCACATGAGGTGTTCAGTATGTATCTCCCTGCTTTCTACTGACATGCATGAGTGCCTGTGTGGTGATGCTTGTGTGCATGAGCTTCTCTCAGAATTTTTCTCTCAGCCTGGGTGGAGTAGAATATTACGGATAAAATGTCACCCGTCAAAATCCAAAATTATCTATTTTAGGTTCTTTAGAAAAAATTGCCATTTTTAATTTTCAACCTTTGTATGTTATCTAATAGTTTCCTAGGTAAAGCTCTCTTAAATATATTGTTAAATTTAACAAACCATTAATCTCTACAAAATCTGTAACAACTGAAACCTGTATGAAAGGCTTCCTGGGTTTGGTGAGACCTACTTAATGCAACCCACCAGTGTATTTGTTGAATGTATTGATTTATAACTGCTCTTTTCCTTTGGCTATAAAAGTTTGTATAACCGCTTTCATATTGGAGCATGCCATTCAAGGTAACTTAAATCATGTTCCTATGCTATGATGATGTGATGTGACACTCCTCCTGGGGAGACAGGAACAAACATCTACTCACCCCAGATCAGGAACTAAATCAAAGTAAGGATACCACTCAAGTCCAACTTGGTGAAGCAATGAGTTTATTGGGATTACTTATGGAAGTATGGGTTCAAGGTTACTTACAGGAGCATGGAAAAATCAAAGGCTAGTGTACTACCAAAAGCCAACCCCAGCAGAAAACTGTCAAGCTGCCTCCAGGATGGAATGTTTCAACTTGAAGGAAATTGCTACATAGCACATGGTCACATTTGGCTCCTAATGAGCTATTTTATTTACTTTAAAGCAAAATTCTTACTTTCATATGAATATATAGATGTGTGAATGTATAAGACATTATTTTTTGTTTTTTTACACAATTCTAGTCTCTCCTCTTTTCTCTTCCTCCTCTTCCTTCCCTGTCCCATTCTCCCTTCCCTTCTGCCTAGCTCAGAATGACCTTGAACTCTCAATCCTCTGCCCAGCCTCCCAAGTGCTCAGATTACAGGCATATGCACCATGCCCAGCTGCAATTGTGTTTCTATAAAGTATGAAGTGAGAGAGAACTTGAGGGAAAATAAAGCTCTAAAGAACTGCTGGTCCATCCTCATAGGGGACGAAATAACAAGCAGTAGAGCTCATTAATGTGTGTGTTCCTCCAATGCATTTCTTTCCAAATCTTTCTCCTTGGCGTATTTAATTATTAGACATCTGGAGCAATTCCCCAAAAGTCTACATAGACTCAAATCACCTGTTAAGAACCATTGTTCTTTTTTTAGAGTGGATTCTATTTGAAAAGACTAAACAGAGAGCTTTAGAATTCAGAGCCTCTTTGGCCACCAGTGCCTTTTGGACTATAAATCAAACTATAAATCCAATTACTTGTAAACAACTAGTTTTTTTTTTCAATTTTTCCAAATCAAGAATGATGCAAGCTACTGAAATGCCCCATACTTGAACAGAGTCCCTTAGGAAGAGCCCTAAGCTCACTAACATTCACCTTGTTGCTCGAGTAAAAGTGAACCACCATTGGAAAACACCACACACAGTCAAGTCCTTTGATTTGATCCTGCTTTCCTGGCTGCTTATTGAAATGAGAAACCTAGACAAATTTCAAATGCTTTGACATGAAGAATGTAAGGGTATCTGTGTATTTTTGTTGTTGTTGTTTTATGGTGGTGACTGGATGAGTGGGTAGAGATCAACCATGGAGCCCAACAATTTGATTTGGCAAAGCTCAAAGGGCTTGGTTTTGTAAGGTTTTTGGTCTAGCACAGTGCTCATCAACTGAGGATGATTTTCTTCCTTGTGGGATTTTTGACATTAAAAGAAATGTTTTATTTTATTTTATGTATATTGAGTGTTTTGCCTGCATGTATGTAAGTGCACCATGTGCATGAATGGTGCCCACAGAGGCCAGAAGAGGGTGTCAGATCCCCTGGAGTTAAAGACAGGTGTTAGCCACCATGTTGGGGCTGAGGACCAAACCCCACATCCTCTATAAGAGCAGAAAGTACTCTTAGCCACTGAGCCATTCCTCTAGCTGTATGTTTGACATTTTTATTTTCATAGTTAGGGTGCTAGAACTCTACCTCACCAGCATCCAGTGGGTAGAGGCCAGAGATTATTTTTGAATATCCTAAAATACACAACACAGGGCAGCACCACATAGAATTATTCATTCCAAGGTGAGGACCCTGTTAGTGTCTACATCACACTGCTCCCAGCCACCCTCCACAGATTTGGCTCCTGCTTGCCAAGTTAGCCACTTTCATTTATGGGCTTTTGATTTTTTTAAATGCGGCATTTTTTTCTAATTTTACTTAGTCATACACAGGACATTTTTTGAGAAAGGAGGATATAAAGAGGAAAACAAGTATTTCACTGTGGGAATTTATATACTTTGGCTTAAAAAGAGATTTAAAAATAAGGACTGACTTATGGAGTTTGTGGGTTGCTGCAAGGGTAAAAGTTAATAAGTTAGAAATAATCTGAAAGTCATGAAGCCCCAGCTGGAATGATTAAAAGCAAACTGTAACTGTGCTACAGTGGCTGCTGTACAATATGTATGGCGTGTGGGACCTACTTCATAACGTTCATCTCGAACCTTCTGCATAGGTTGAGTTGCCATAAAGAAAACGCCTCCCCCATCACATTGCACACTATTACTGCACTTTGCAGTTTCAGGTTCTCTCTACATAGCGTGAGTGTTTGCTGCATACCATGTGCTTGGGAGCAAGAGAAGGTGCAAGACACTAGAGGTGTTGTTTTTTAAGTCAGCTTCTTGCTTTGACTTCTCCTTGAGGTTCTGTCAAAGTCTGGTGGAAGCCTGCACAGTCATTTTGGTAATGACATTTTTAGTGCTGCTTGCCAGGGAATAGTCTTCATGGCCCTAGTGTTGCAATTTTGAATGAAGAAGGTGGAAGCCAGTGTATCGCAGTGAAACTCTTCTGGTATCAGCTTTTAAATAAAATCTTCAAGGTTTAGTTATTGATGAAAAGGCCTATTTGATGTTATACAGAAATCCTGTGCTAAATATACTGAAATTTTGACTTACTATAACAATTCTCTTAAAAAGAAACCCTTTTGACTACAAAAGTAAAACATGATTATTATGGAGAGTTTAGAAAATATAAAAAGGAGTTAGGAAGAAAATGGAAATTGTTTGTACTAATCTATAACCTTGGTACCCAAAGATAATCATGATTTAATAGTCTTCCCATAAAGCACAACTTCAAAATAATCTTTTTATTTTTCACAAGTGTGTGTGAGAGATTTTGTGTGTGTGTGTGTGTGTGTGTGTGTGTGTTTTGTTTTTGTCTATTGAGATAGGCTTTCACTATGTAGTCCAGCCTTGAGCTCAAGATCTTCCTTCCTCAGTTTCCCCAAGTATTGGAACTTACAAGGTATACCTGGCACAAAAAAATTATACTTTGTAGGATTTATTTCCTAAAGTTTATTCAAGGACGTCATCAAGGGCTTGGGGAGATGGCTGAGGTGGTGAGCGCCTACTGTGCAAGCATGGGGACCTGAGTTTGGATCCCCAGCACCCGCATGAAAGCTGGGCAAAGCAGAGCATGTCTGTAAGTCCAGCAGTGGGAAGTTGGAAGATGGTTAGAAACAGGTGCTCACTGGAGCTCACTGACCAGTCAGCCTGGCCAAATTGATGTGCTCCAGATTTAGTAAGAGACTGTCTCAAAAAAGAAAGTGGAGCACGCTCAAGGAAGCCATCTGGCATTGCCTTCTAGCCTCCATATGTGTATATACACACTTACAGGTAGCCTCCACACATGTGTACATACACTTACAGATACACATGCATACAAACACACAAAAGATTTCACTTAAATAGCTATGGATCTTAAAAGTACTATTTGTGTGCCTGCTTTTAAAAATTATATTCTTTTCATCCATCACTTAATAAATTAAAAGGGCAAAAATACAATGTGAAATTCTCCCTCATTCCTGCTCTACTCTAAGGAGATCATGATGAACAGAAATTGATAATTTTTTACCCTTTTATTTGTAATACTTATAAAGGTGACACAATGTTAATCATTTTTTAACTTATGTTGATGGCATCAAAACATTCATATCACTATGTATGAGGCTTTTACACTCTGTATCTTGAATATCTGCTTTTTTTCAGAGCACAAAGATGACTGTATTTCTCCCAGTTCTGAGGATTGAACCCAGGGACTTTCATATGTAAGGCAGAAGCACCATGAGCCACATCACCAACACCAGCTGCTTTCTTTTCAATGCCTGGATTGCTTTATCGGTTTCTTAATTTTTGCTGAACCAGTAATTCTGCCATGAACATTCTTGATCATGTATCTTTATCTTTTAGCCCTTCTTTGGGAGTTTTAGTCTACCTTTCCTTAATACATATTTAATCTCTTAAAATTCTGTAAGAATATTTATCTTTTCCTTTTGAAATCAGTAAAACCTATAAGTAAGCATGCATGAGGCCTGTTAGTTCTAACTCCAAATGTTATCCTAAATTCGCCTTCTTTGTTGTGCCTGTGTTGAAACCTTTTCCACCCAGGCCACACACACCCATTCTGGCTTACCCTTCTGATGTCTGTCCCTTACAGTCTGTAGTTACCAGAGCAGCCACAGTAATCTTTTAATAACATAATACATAATGTCATTTCCCTGCTAAGAGCCCTTCAAGGGCTTTTTACAATCTTTGGAATAAAAGTCAAACCCCTTCTTTGCATGGTTCTCAAGTCCCTACTATGGCCTCCCCTATACTTTGCTTCTAATGATCATTGATAATCTTTCTCTACATTTGCTTCTTTTGATCATTGATCATCATTGTTCTCTGCATTTTGAATGCACCAGCTCAATATCAGTCCATTTGCCATTGCTATAATAAAATACCCAAGATGGACTACTTATGGAGAAAAAGAAGGTTGTGTGGATCTCAGTTTTAGAAACCAAAAGTCCACATAACATAGCATCATCTCTGGCAGACCCCTGCCCCTTGGCTGTACCACCTTATGGCAGATAATGATAGTGGGAGAACAATCCATTCCACCAGACAGAAAGTCAGAAGCACTGGAGGAGCCAAGGTTAAGATTTATTAAGAACTTTCTCATTGGGCAGGGGTGGTGGTGCACACCTTTAATCCCAGCATTTGAGAGGCAACACTCAAGAAGCAGGTGAATCTCTGGGAGGTCTAGGTCAACCTGGTCTACATAGCAAATTCCAGGACAGCCAATAAGACCCTGTCTCAAACAAAGAAAAAATATTTTTCCATAATAACTAACCAGGGTCATAAGACAAATACCTCCATGGCTGCCAAAGGGTACACTCTACTAACCTCCCACTAGGTCCCGCATCTTGAAAGTCCACACTAGTGCCCAATACTGCCACCCCAAGAACCAAGCCTCCAACACATGAACTTGAGTAGTGAGTAACCCTTGCAAACCCCTTTTAAAGCTGTTCTGGGTATTAATCCTTAGATAGCAAGCTGCAGAAATAAGAGAGCCTATATCGTGGTCCTAGTCTGACAGAAAGCCTGAACTAGCAGAGCTGTTGATGTAAGTTCTGATCCATGTTCACAAAGACAGGAGACCAACGTCCCAGACCAGCGACAGTGAGGCAGCAGATTCACTGTCCTCAACCTTTTTGTTTCATTTAGGTCTTCAGTAGACCTTGTTAGGGGTGGAATGTGTAATGATCCCCACAGGCTCGTGTGTTTGAAAAGTTGGTTCCTGGGTAGTGGCACTATTCTGGAAGTTGTGGAGCCATTAGGAGGCAGGCCCTAGCTGGAGGAAGTGGCTTACTGCAGAGGCAGGCATGGAGGATTATAGTCAGGTCCTGCTTCTGGTGTCTTTAGGTTTCAAGCTGTCCATAGAATGTAGCCAGCTGCTGTACTCTCCTGCCACCATTCCTTCCCCTTCTTGATGGACTGTATCCCCTCAAATCATGAGCCAAAATAAGCCACTTTCATGAGCAACTTTGGAAAGTTTCTTCTTGTCAAGTATTAGGCCACAGCAATGAGAAAATCGCAATACATGCCTCATATGGGAGAGGCAGCTGTTTTGTTTGGTCTGCTGAGTCAAACGTTAATCTCATCTAGAAACACCCACCAAAGATATGCCCAGAATAATGTCTAACCAAATATCTGAGTTGTTCATGGCCCTGTTGAGGTGAGACCTGAGCTAACCATGACAAGACCATTTCCTGCCTCTAGACCATCCTGTAGTTTCACAAAACCGGCTTGTTCTCTTTTTAACGTTCTCTTAAATGTCAGCACTTTAGGCTGACCTTTTGAAACTGATCTCTCAGACTTCCCCAGTTACCGCATCCTCTCACACCTTGCAGAGTTTCACTTAATGTGCTCATCCCAATAAGTAATTACCTTGATTACTCAGTTGTTTACTTGTTATTAATCTCTCACTTTCTCTCCTATTAGAAAATAGTTTTATCTGGAGGCTTTGCATATTTTGCATTAATGGAACCCACCAAAAATGTATGCAACATATAGTTTTATTGCAACAGCAATGAAAGAGTTGGATAGCTGGATAACGTTAGATTTTAAAAGTCATTCTCTAGACAAACTTTTCTTGGATAAGAATTCTAAGTTTTATGTGTAGCTAAGACCTGCTTCAGGAAGGGACCTCTATCTGCTCCCATTGCTGGTAGACTAACCGTAGTGACTTTATTATGTTAGAGGATAGAGGCTGGAAAGAGGAACAGTGAGTGCAAAATGGAAAAGCCCACAGGTACCACCTCTACTAAATGATGCTGCAGATACCACACACCCACACCCATGAAAGGAAGCATCAGAAGGGCACCCACACAGTATGTCTTCTGTGGAATTCTGACCCCTACCTTCAATGCCTGCCTTCAATCAAATCATAAGAAAAGATCACACAAAATGAGAGAAGCCATCTGTTATTCACCCCAAAGAGAGCATCGAAACTTAATGCAGCATGGCCCTTGGGTATGGATTCTGGAGCAGACAGAAGACATTCATGGAAAACTTGGTAAAATCTCAGGTTTCTAGAAAAAAAAAGAAACATATTGGTTTCTTAGTTTTAGATTGTGTACCACAGTAATACAAGATATTAACAGAATAATAAAAAACAGGTGATTGAGTTTTTTGAGAACTCAGTTCTTTGTAACTTTTCTGTAAGCATACATTTTAAAAAATAACTTATTGAGAATTTCATACAGGGATATAACCATATAAGGTGTTTTGATCAAATCCATGCCCACTCCCTCCTCTCCAACTCCTCCCATATCTCCCCATCACTTTTTTTCTGATAACTTCATATACTCTTTCTTCTTTTTTTTTTTTTTTAAATGGGGCTCTTTGCTACTCTAACATTCACCCCTCTGAAGAGGTAAGCCTAAAATCTTTTAAGGATTAGATAAGAGCTTCCAAATACTTTTGGCATTTTTGGCCTTTGGAATGGAGTATGTTGCTAAGAGGCCCAAGGACATTTTGACTTTTAGCCAAGAAACTGGCTACTTTTCTTTGCGGTCTTTTTATGCTAACTGCCTAGCCAATTCCATCCTCCTATTCTTATCACATCATCCTCTGACAAGGTTACCCAGCTTGCAGATAGGGAATCAGGACACAGACTGCTCTGTCTTCTTTCATGCTGAGCAGGGACACAGGGAGGGGCAATTGGGGTAAGCCTTTGGGTCTATCTAAAAGACTCCCAAATTGTATAACTCTTATCTGTAGGGGGAACAGAAAGTCCTTCACTGGTGAATAGGAGATGTGAAGGAGAAGTAAAGGCAAGAGTAATTAGCATTACAAGTTCCAGAAAGTGAACTAGAAAAAAGTCAGAACAGGGCAAATTTCAAATTTCATATGAGAGTCCATTGGAATTTTTTGACAAGAGCTACCAAAAGTATCCCTTTATTGGGTTCCTCCTCATTTTTCTTTTGTCTGCCAAGACCAGACTCGAGAGTGATGGATTCAAGATTTGCTTTCAGGCATTTTGATAGCTGTTGGAGTGGTTAGAATCAGTGTCAGTTCCCTTTCAAAGGCTTCTAGATAGGGGGAGAAAACAAATTTGGCCATCATTTCAGAACAATAGCAGGTAGTCTCCCTTAGCTACAGATGGGCACTACAGTATTGCAGACCAAGATTTGAAGTCTTACATCTGAGTAGCACTTTCTGATTCAGAACAAAATCATTGAGAGATAGTTGTCTAAATAACGTTTTTATATGGACTTAAGCCTAATGTCTGAGACATGTAATCTCTTGAACTCAAAGAAATATACTGATCACTTTACTCTTTGGTTATACTTTCCATTTGGGTGTTTAAAACCATACAGTTGGCCCAAATAAATCAATTTATATTTACACTTAAGGTCGTTTGAGGATCTGTTCCTCAGGGGTCATCTGTAAGCATACATGTATTCCAAAATGAAAGTTTGCTTTTGCTAGGTATGGTGGTGTATGCCTGTAACCCCAGCACTTAGGAGGCCAGGCAGGAGGATCAGGAGTTTGAGGCCAGCCTGAGCTACATAGTGGGTTCCAGATCAAACTAAGCTGCAAAGCAAAACTCTTATTTCAAAAGAACTACAACAGCCAGTACCCAGAAAAGAGAGTGTTACTTTTAAAAAGATAGTAATCACAAATCAGAATCTCAATTAGCCATAGTCATTTACAAAAATCTTTACCAATTAAAAAAATTCTTTAGCAATTAAGAAAAAAAATGTCCCTTAGGGAATCATATCTGTGCTGCTGCTATTCACAACTGCAAGAAAAATTCTGCCTTTTTATGTTAGTCAGCATACACAGAGTGATAACCACCATTAAAAATATATTTAAGCCTCCTAGTTCTCAACTGATCTTTTTTTTTTCTCACTTTTCTTCTTTTTGTGTGTAGTATATGTCCGTGCGTGTGTGTGTGTGTGCGCGCAGTTGTGCTCACCCATGCATGCACACACTGAGGTCAGAGGCTGACATTAGTGTCTTCCTCTCTTGATCTCCATCTTGTTTTCTGAGTCAAGGTCTTTCACTGATCCTGAAACCTATTGATTCAACTATACTGAGTAGCCAGTGAACCCTGAGGATCCTCCTGTCTCTGCCTACTGAGCGCTGGGATTACAGGTGTGCACTGTCACATTTGGCTTTTATGTGGGTGCTAAGGATCAGAATTCAAGTCCTCATGCTTACATTTCAAACTTTACTGGCTGACCCATCTCCCCAGACCCTTAACTGTTCTTTTTTATTTCTGTCATTATACTTTAAAATCCATAAAATAGGCTATGTTGCAGTTTGTGACTAATGTTCATAGCTAAAGAAACCTTTTAACATATTGACACTAAACAATTATTACTGTTAAATGACTAAAAAGTTTCTGTATGAAATTATTCTTGCTTGTCTTCAATCTAATTTTTTTTTGCACAAAAGCCAGAAATACTATTAGGAAATTGATGGCAAGATGTGCTGGATCGCCTATCCATCTGAGGTGTTAAGACAAGTACTACCAATAAATTCTGCCTGGTATGTGAAATGGTTCTTTCTAGAACATACTAAGTATTGAAGAATAAGAGTATTTTGCTCTTTGAGTGACTACTCAGATTCAACTGAGAAATGCTGTCTGCCATATTCATCTGTATAATTAATACACAGTCTACTGTGGAAAATATCCTGGTTTTTATTTGCACAGAATTATTTGGGAAGTTAATACTGAAAACATTAAAAAACATATTGAGTTGATTTCATTTCTTTACCTTCACAGAATCACAGAGCGAAGTCACAACAGGAAAAAGATGAATGAAGCATCACAGATTGGAGCAAAGTAACGATGTAACAGATAAATGAAAGGTGTGATCCTGGTTCAGATCCTGGGACAGACAAAAGAAATTTGGGAAAGACCAATGAACTGACAATAAGGTCTAAAGTTTCATTCACAGACCTGTCTCGGTATCCCCCGGTTTTGATAATTATGTTATGGTTAAATTAGTTACATCAAGGGAAACTGAGGAAAGAGTAGACAACAACTTTATGAACAATTTGGCCATTTTTTTTGCAACTTCTGTAAGTTTAAAATTATTTCAAAATAAAAGATACTAAAATGTGTATTGGAAAATTCTTCAGGAAGTTGTAACTTCAGAATGAGACATAATATTTCTCAACAGTTCCTCAGAGGTAGTCTTCTCTCCAGCTTTGAAACAAAACACTGTTTTTTCAGTCAGTCAAGTAGCCGATAAATTAGAATTGGCTTATACTTTAGGAATATTTTGTTCAAAAATACACATTCGCGGCCGGGCATGGTGATGTATGTGTACAAGCTTAGCACTTGGAAAGAAAAGCAGGAGAATCAGATCAAGGCCATCTTCAGCTCCACAGAAAGGTCAAGAGTAGCCTGGAGGATATGAAATCTTATCTAAAAACAAAACAAAAATAAAAATATACACATTTCAAAGTACTACAGTTATGGTCATAAGATGTTCTTGTTTAAGAAGTCACTGAAAACACTCACATTTCATTTGTGCCAGAGTATTTGCTCATTAAGCTCAAATTACACAGAACTTCCTAAAGATAATTTATATTATTTTTAAGATAATT